GACGCCATGAAACAACAAGACCCAGAAGAACCCGAACCCGTGAAAAAAGAAGCCCCAAAGAAGGAAGAAGGGAAGAAACCAAAGAGAACACAAAAAGTTAAAAATTGAAATTGCCATTTACCTACAATGGTAAAAGAGGAGAGCACTTGTTATTATGGATTGCCAAAATCCAGACATATTGTGGGACTACTCCAGTGGCAGAGGACAGTCAAGTTGAATTCTCCACCTCGTGTCTGGGAGAAGTTGCACAAGTGTGGGTGTTGTCTGAGGCTAATGCCGCTGGCTTTAATGATACGGTGAGTGAGCAAAAACAATGACTCTAAGGGAATTCCTCCAGAAAATCAAGGAGAGATTCCTTGACAAAACGACAGCCGACAAAGCCTTTGACGAACTCACCACTATTAGACAGAAGCATTGGTCCACTGTCGATGCCTTATCACGTGAAGTTGCTCGTCTTTTGCAGGTACTTGGACTGAACCTCCAAGACAACCAGGTTTTGTATATCTATTAGCGCGGACAGCTTGTGGCAGAGTGAAAGTCTAGAAAGTATAACTATCGACAGATCCACGATCTTGCCCTCCAGAGAGAGCATATGACAACGCAAGTAAAAGGAACCTACGCGACCACTGTAAGGGGTGGGCAAACAAGCGGGTATGGGAATGGGAAAACAGTCCTGTGACAGCATGAGCGTCGGGTCTACACTCTTGTCATTTTTTACGATGAGACTATTGAGAGATTGCCCCTCGAAGAGGCAGAGGGTGAATCAAGCGGTGGCGGTGAGTAGGGAAAGGGAGACGTCACCGCCATGGTGGCCAACAAGGGTGGCACCAATCGAAATTGTGGATTCAAGAAGAGGAGGCCACACTCCTTCCCAGAGCATCCAAGCATTGCGTTTGGTCGGCCATGGGAGAAGATGGGCCTCACCCAGACGGAATGGCAGGAACGGATGGAAAATAGGCAGTGCCTAAAGTGCGGCACTGCAAGACACATAATTGCATGGTGTCCCCTCATCCGTAACCCAAAAGGGAGCAGCCAGTATGAGTAGCATCTGCTCCGACTGAGTCGGGGGGTTTAGACAAATGTAAGGCGCACACAACCCCTTTAAACCCCCCAACTCGCAAAGCAGAGGATGGCTCTTCTTCGGCCCCTCCACCCAGAGCACGCTGAGAAAGTCTTGTGTTCTGTCTCACTAGGTGATACCCTTGATGAACTTGGATGTGAACTTATTGCATTACGAAGTTCATGGGCTAAGAAAGCTACGTCTGAGGGTGAACTGATGATTGTGCGCACCTGTGAATGTGCATTGTTATATCTAGGTTCAACGCGGTCCTCTATCTCAGAAAAGGCAATTCATAAGTTGCATCTGGGAATGAGAGAGCATGATATGCCGAGACCTATCATGTATATGCTAGCTGATAAGAGCACGATCGTTGTCTCTCAATTGATCATGTATAGTGTTATTTCCGAACTAAGTAAAAATAATTTTGCATGAGGTAACCTTCTTAGTAGAAAAGAATCTACCTTTTGACATGATTCTGGGAATGGATTGGCACGAGGAGGCCGACCTAGAAATCAAGTACAAAGATAAGATTGTCAAACTAAGGAATGAAAAATCCCAATTATAATCAATCAAATTGTTCCACAAGTCTGGTTCTGACTCATCATTGTCTTTCTGTTGTATGAGTCTACCCGCCTTTTGAAGTATGGTCACGAAAAAGAAGCTGGCACATGTCGTCATGATGGTACTCGTTAAACGAGTCCGTGAGTGTTCTTCATTTTATCCTCCTATTGATAAACTACTCAATAAATATTCATTTTATCCTCCTATTGATAAACTACTCAATAAATATAAGGACTTGCAGACTGAATCGACCAGATTAACTTACTGTATTATAAAGCACACAACTGAAATCATTCTCGGAAGTAGATTCCCAAAGGACCGCTTTCCCGAATGTCCATAAGGGAATTGGAAGAACTAAAAAAACAACAACAAGAACTTACAAAAATAATATAATTGACCAAGTTCCTCTCCCTACGGTGCCCCTGTCTTATTCGCACCTAAAAGAGAAGGAGAACTTAGACAGTGTATTGACTATCGAGGATTGAATTTCGTAACTATTAAGAATGTTAAACCTCTTCCTCGTATTGATGAAGAGGGATTTTTGGGTGGTATCTTGTGAAGAGGATTGACTTAAGGGAATCGTACTGAAGTACGATCATGATCGGTCTGCAACCACAGTTAGTTACAAGACGATCATGATCGGTCTGCAACCACAGTTAGTTACAAGACGATCATGATCCGTAACTACACCAGACCGATCATGGTTGCAAGTACTTCAGTAAGATTGATCTTAAGTCAAGATACCATCAGATCGAGATGACACCCAAAGATCAACACAAGACGATGTTTTGAAGAAGGTATGAGCACTACGAATTTGTTGTCATGCCTTTCGGGTTGACTAACGCCCCCACAACTTTTCAAAGGTCAATTAATGAACTGTTTAGTTAATGGCTAGATCAATTCGTAGTGGTGTATCTGGACGATATCCTCGTTTACAGTAAGACGTTGGAAGACCATGAGAAACGACTACGAATGGTTTTAGGAAAACTAAGAGAAGGTAACTACAAGTTAAATTTGAAGAAGTCTGACTTCAAAGGTATTGTATCTTGGACACATAGTAAATGAAGAGGGACTAAGGCCAGGAGAAAAGAAGATAATTGCAGTCAGAGATTGACCTAGACCTAAGACTGTCACTGAGTTGCGATCTTTCTTAGGACATGCTAGCTATTGTAGGAAGATTGTGAGGAACTTCTCCCTTATAGTTGCACCCATGAGAAGATTGCTAAAGAACGAAAAACGTTGGTTATCAGACAAAGACTGCGAGTCCGCGTTTAAGAAGTTGAAACATACGCTAACTCACTACCCTGTCTTAAAGATTATTGATCCATCACTTCCCTTCATTGTCACAACTGATGCTAGTCAGCTTGGGATTGTGGTTGTGCTACAACATGACCACGAGAAAGGCTATAGACTGATCAAGTTCATGTCTAAACGCCTTCCATCTGACAAGGTAGCTAACTCCACCTACGAAAGGGAATTGTATACCTTAGTCGAAGCACTGGACACTTGGAAACACTACTTGCTAGGATGACACTTCACGGTCTACTCAGATCACTCAACCCTGAAGTGGATTAAGACTCAACCCCGACTTTCCGACAAGTTAGTAAGATGGTCTGCATTCATCGACACATTTGATTTTGAATTGAAAACCATTAAAGGAAATTTAATGTTCTTGTTGATGCTTTGTCCAGGCGTTCTGATTTTTTTGGTTTACCTATCTTAACATTGGGAATGAGTTGAAGGACCAAATTCGTATAAGGGTATGTTGAAGATCCAATCTGGAGTCCTATCAAGCAAACCCTTCAGAAGAATCTTGAGAATCTTGAACTCTTTCCTGAATACTGAATGACTGATGACTTGCTCTTCTTCATTGATAAAACCGAAGAAAAAAATTGTATTCCCCACAAAGAAGATATCAAAAGTATGATTATCGGGGAATGCCATGATATTGAAGGTTATTTCGGATTTAAAAAGACGTATGCTAATGTAAGAGAATCTTTTGAATGGAAAGGAATAAAAGAGGATGTGTTAACCTATGAGCGAACTTGCCTTGTTTGCCAAAGGAACAAACCCTCTAAGGAAAATCCCTTGGGATTTCTACAACCACTACCTATTCCAAGTGAACCATGTGAGTCTATCTCGATTGACTTCATGAGCCTCACCAAAGTCGAAATGGGAATAGCCAAGTAATGGTCATTGTCGACAAATTCTCCAAATATGCAATGTTCATTCCTTTACCATCAGAAGCTAGAATGAAACTTGTCATCTAGAAGTTCCAGATGCGATGGGTTTTCGAGTACGGATTTCCGAAAAACATCGTCTCTGATAGGGATGTACGGTTCAGCAGCCTACAATGGCAAAAGCTAATGGAAGCCTACGGCACACGATTGACCATATCGCCAGGTTGACACCCTGAAACAAATGGACAAACTGAACAAATGAACAAACCGTGCCAACAACTTTTGCGTATGTATGTACGGCCAGATCAGATTGATTGGGATGAGAACTTGCCAAAGATTGCGAGTGAAACAATAGTGTTCACATTGTTACTGGGAGAACACCTGACGCACTGCTCAAAGGAAGGAAGTCGAGACGTCCCATTGACGAGTTAATTAGTAACAAGTCCAAAGGCCACCCCCAGAAACCAAAGAATTTGCGATTCTGTATGAGCAGGACATAGCCAAAGTAAAGGAGAATATACAGAAAGTCCAACCATAGATGATTGACAAAGGAAATAAACAGCATCGACCTTCTCAGTTCAAAGAAGGATCCTTAGTCTGGGTAAAGTCTAAAGAATTCTCGACATTGTTGAGCTTTCCTCCTGATTGGGTTCATTGCATGCTCAAGTGGACCACACAGAAACAAAAACAAACAACATCAAGATAGCTGGGTGGGGAAAACCTTGTAGGCGACACGCGGGATTATTCCACACCAATGTTCCCCCTGCATTGTTTGCAGATGGCAAGCTTGTGTACCGCACTCAACCTAACTGGTGTGCTGAGCATCAACATGACAATAGATTTCCAAGCCCAAAACTCACCTCTATCAAGAGGGGATTGTATGACAAAGGTTTGATTCCTACTGCAAAGCCAACACAACGATCGACCAAGAGTACGTTGTGTACTACAGCACAGCAAGCACGACGACCAACCCAGAATTCCATGTGTACGACTGCAAAGCCAAGACAAAGATCAACCCAGAGAATAACATGACAGTAGCTGTCGAATTACCACCAATGCTTCACTCTCTGCTCTTTCCTCTGTGCTCAGATGGGCCTAATCATGGTAGCAGAAGTCCTGTTGCCATCTGTACATAAGGGGTGGGAAGAAGAGAAGGTCAACTTCCAGGCCGGCAGCAGAATCACAGTCTGTGAACTCTTGGAACAAGTTTGCAAGAGTAGAGGTGCTACCACCTTGCCGACTTCCCTCTGATCTACAAGCCACAAGACCACCCCTGCTACTGCCACTGCTCGGCTCAGGACATGTTCGGTCGTAGTACAGCACTCCGCTATCCCCAAGCCCACAACACAGTTCTCTTTCTGTGTCATGACCGGGCCTTAACGCTGACAGCTCCCAGGTGCAGATGGTTGTTTGTGAAACCTGGCTTCGGAAGGCCATGAGGTGAAATGCTACTTCACATCTGGCCTGGGGTTGGAGCTGAAACCAGGGAGAAATCCTGAAGGAGTGGGAGGAGGGATGAGGTATGGCACATGCCAGAGAGCTGGCAGTGCATTCTGCCTCTCACGTCTGGATGCAACGATGGTTCCTACAGCTGATTGTCTCAGGTTGTTTCCGACCACTCAATGCCAGTCTGTGGCACACGAAATAACATAACCCTCTCTAATAGTGGGTGAAAACAGATGCGGCATTCTCCGGCTACATGACAAGTGCCTGAAGTTCTGACAGTGGGGACTCTGACGTTGAATGAGTCCGCTCCACAGCCTCCTGGACCCAATCACAGCAAATTTGGGACCGCCATACTCAGTAATGATTTAACTTGCAGAACACAGAGGAGAGTAACCACAACAGTGTGTAAGCGTTGAATACTTATCCGCAGAAAACGCTAATGAAGTTAAATGAGCAGCAAAAGTCTATGCGTCCAAGCAAAAGGCACTCAAGACTCAAGAGGTAAACAGAATGTCGTGTGGATGATTAACGGTACAATAACAGTTCTCCCCATGGTTCATAATGCGAGCAACAATGTAACTGCCACATACATACTGTACTGAGAACTCCAAGATTGGCCCCAATCACATCCCTGAATGTGCATATGACAAGGTGCAAGGGCTGTATTAAAATTTGCAAATGTAATGTCTCACTGGGAGACAGATATGTGTCTCACTGGGAGACAGAGATGACATCATAAACCTGGTTGCAAGAAGTAGCAGTCACCTCCTCCTTGAATGAAACCATTTGCCAGCAGTACACACTTTTAGGCTTTCCGCCTTGATCCTCCATAGGGTCCAACACAACCTGAACGTTTTTTGCTCACGAGTTCGTAAGAGGCAGGGGGTCCGAAATGTATAACATATTCCAATAGCTAGCTCCTTTCACTGAGGCTACCATCTTCACCCGAGAATACACATGCGCACAAGAGAGAGAGAGAGAGAGAGAGAGAGAGAGAGAGAGAGAGAGAGAGAGAGAGAGAGAGAGAGAGAGAGAGAGAGAGCTCAGTTGTGGTTCTAAAGGAGCTTTACACAAACAATCTTGTGACAACATTCAAAGTCAGCAACAGTGTGCAACACTGCGATTGCAGAATCCATTACTGAATTTTATTGTTAAAGATTTCAAAGAACAACAATCAATACAATTGAGTAAGGATCTATCAACGGTCATGAATCGGCTGGTAAACTTGCTTGACGCTCCAGCATGGAGCAGAGACTGAACTCGAGTCCTATTCAACAACTATCTGAGGAGAGGGAGAGCAAACCAAACGAGTGCTAGTACAGTGGTGAGTACTAGGACAGCGCAAACACACCCTTGCACTGCTGGAGCAGGAGTGGAGGAGGAGGAGGAGGAGGTGCATCAAAATGAGGACTGCAGGTATCTCTGGAGATGGACAAGTGCATCCACCTGAGGGAAGCCAAGTGCAGCCTGGGAGCTGTGATGACAGAGTCCAGTTCAAAAGACGAGCCACCACGTCTGGATGACCAACTCGGCAGACAACAACGTCATCATCTTGTTACTGGATGAGGCTGTGAGTTACCTTCGTCGATGAATGGAAAATTGGAAATGTGAACAGTCTGTCAAAATTCCTGAATTGGATCACGTCACCATTTCGCAATACAAATAGACTGTGTCATCGTGTTGAAATCTTCGTACACACCCCGCCTGCAGAACACCCAACCACATAATGTACAACATGACCGGCAGGATTCATACATGTCAAATGTCTCCATATACACTAAACTACCCAATATCATCACATAGAGTCATAGACTGCAATTCAGTTCGAGAGATTCAACGATGCAAGTTATCATGCAATAACAAGGTACTGGGACTGCTCATTGCTTCCCTTGCCCATCCCTTGCCCACATAACAGAAACTGCCAAAAATTTCAAGCCTGTCAAGCACCTTGTAAGTTAGGCTCCACACTTTGCATGATGTGCAGGCTTAGGATTTGTGTGCCGACAGGAAGTTGTCTTTGTTTCTGCTCGCTCGTGTCTGCAATGCCTGCAATGTTTTTTGACATCTGTTTGTTGATCTTTGTTCTCGCATCTTTTCAAGACCCAAACGAGCTAGGAGTCGTATAATCGCTAAGTGCACTTCTTGAACGTTGAGCATTCCCTACCCCCTACCCCGAACTTGTTGGGACACACTTATCCCACCCTCTGCAATGCTGGCCCTGAAAGATAACAAGTGAGAGCATGGGAGTGGCCATTTCAGCAAATGTTCACATCGTTAGAAAATCCTGCTGACCTACAACCGAAACATGTCAGGCATAAGAATATAACTATTGAGACCTCATCACCAAACAAAGATGTCCAAAACTCAGCTCTCGGGTCACTAACAGACTTAAGGAGGGAGGAGTTGCCTTCACAGCAGCAGATGCCACATTGAACCAGAAGACTGGCTATTGTGTGTGGTAGGCATATCACTTTATTTCTCCCTTCTCCTACTTCGGCTCTCCTTTCTCCGTTTGGACCTAGGCAGAGGTTTTGCATTCCATTTAGAATAACGCTAAGACGCAAACTGGAATCTAGTAGCTACACTTTTGCCATAAAACCATAACAATGAGGGGACTGGGAGAGTTCAGGATGCTCGAGCAAGGTGATGAAAAAAGGGTTACATATTCTGTGGTGCTCTTGAACGGCAGGATACATTCCTCCTCCAGTGTTGACACTTCACGACGATGATGATAATTGATAATGATGATGAAAATGATGATGATGATGATGATGAGGAGGAGGAGGATAGTGATTGATCCTGAAGATGATGCCCTGCAGTTGGGTGCTGCATATATGGGGATGTCAAGATGCCCTGCTAATGAGAATTTGAGGGTGAATACCACTGAATAGCATATAAAAAAATAGGGACGCTGCCTTGTTGGTGAAAACGCAGATGACAAGGCAAAAAAGGAGAGAGCAGGAGGAAGGAGAGCAAGGCGGAGCGAGATGCTGATGAAAAAGCACCAGCGAACAGGTGTCTTCACAAATATACTCACCATCTGTGTCCTCGAATGTAACAACACGGACGTTCTCCGAGTCTACTGTGTACTCAAACCTGTGAGCAGGGGTAAGGAAGAAAGTCCACGTTAGCGCAAATGTTCCCGTCATAGATTCACACAGTTCCTCTTGCTCCCTACACAGCTGCATCATCCTACAAGGACCAAAGACTGCCCACAGCAGCTCCGCTAGAAAAATAGAGGAGCATGTGACATAAAGTGGGACGAGAGGAGTAGGGGAGGAGGTAGCACTGGTGATGGCCAGAAGGGTGGTGGCAGTCGTGGTGGCAGCAGAGGAGGACGACATTGGAGACGATATGCGTGATTATGAAATTTCATGCAGATGACAAGCTTACACTGCGGAATGCAACTACCAGAAATTCCTCAGCCTGCAGAATGAGAGAATGTGTTCCGCATCGCAAACGGCATCGCAGTATGGTGCAAAGTATACGTAAACCACTCATACCTCCTAGCCTTCTTTTCCCCAATGCGCATTTTCGCCCACCCCTCATGTTACGAACCGTCGAGGGGACAAGCCTGCAGGGTGCCGCCAGCCATTCGGGTTCCGTAGGCAGAGCCTTTCCAGTGGTTGGGCGCAGGATAACTTGGATGGGTAAACTGGTGGCTGAATGCAACCATCAAGGTTCAGGAAGCGCTATGGTCCTGGCATACGTGTACCACCTGCAAAACGGCATGGAAGTGGTCCCCATCATCTCCGCCACGCTTGGAATCAGTCTCACCCTGAGATCACTTAACCGACTCCCTCACACATTCAAAGATGTCACACGAGCCCTGGTTCAGAGATCGGGAAGGTTTGTAGAAGCAATAGGAGCAGCTTTGCAGACAGAAAGGTCACACCAAGGAGTGCGAAGAGGGTAGGAAATAACAGGCAAGTTCAAGGAAGGTGCAGATGGACGTTTGGAGAAGACGAAAGGAGTGCAGAGGGGGGCAGGAAGGTTCCCAGTAGACATGAGAGGAGGTCCACAGGTGGCAAGATTCAGAGAACGAACAGGAGTTTGAGAAAGGGGACACAGAAGATTCAAAGATAAAAGGGCGGGGAGTTCTGTCCGAATGAGAGAACACCTGCGCCGCACGGTAAGTGCTAAACTGTGCTATTTTCCGCGCTCGCGCCACCAGGGTTTTCCCGCTGCACGGTAATTTCAATGTGCACGGTTTCACACGCTCCGTTCATTTTGAACACGGATTCTACAGGATAGTGAAGAGGAGGGGTGAGAGCACGTGACGCCACGTCATGTCAAGCCACGCCTTCGGCATGGCCCCCCCAAATCAGACAAATGATATCATTCACAACGAAAGGAGGGAGAAGGTTAAGGGGAAGAGCCCGGGAGAGCCAAAGGGAGAGTAGAAAGGAGACTAAGAACAGGAAAAGATAGAACAGCATAGTGACATAGCAAAGAGAAGGGAGGGTAAGGGCCGAGAAATATCTTTCCAAACAAGGGAAATAACCAGGAAGGGACGAGACAACGAGACAATCATCACAAGCTGAAGGAGAGGGAGCTTCCACAACACCAGCTTCAGCCAAAATTTTTGACAAGGTTAGAAAGACACAATCGGATTTCAAAGGTAAGTTTCCACGACCCTCTTCGGATCCAGACAGCGACAGAGCAGCGAAGAGACAGACGTCATAACATTCTGTAGAAGGAGTACGACAACCACTATAGAGCACAAGGAGCGATCAAGTAGAAAGAACGATCATTTCAAGAGTCTTGCTCAAGTTAGAATAAACCGTTTTTCAATCATGGTAGAATGCTCTTAGCTGTAGCTGCCACAGGGCAGAAGGAATGAGTGAATCCGTAGCCTTTACCTAACTTAGAAAGGCGGAGAGTACAGCCTATGCTTGACGTTTCTGAACTGTTATGACCCGGACCAATTGCGAAGTACAAATTCACCAATAAAGCACAATGCTGCCCAATTGCAAAAGAAATGAATGAACTTGAGAGGATTGAGAGGATAAGAAGAAGAAGAAGTAGTAGTAAGAAGGAAGAAGATGAAGTACACCAGCAAAGAACCAATGTCAAAGCACTTCTCCTTCGCTCAACTTCTCAACTCCATATGTCCCCCTCTC